GTTTGTATCATATGTTATGCTAATATTAATCGATACTACTTTTACTATAATAAATTTTTGAGTATAGAGGTTTTGCATCGTAATTAGACATATAAAACCTATGCAAAATTATGTATACAATATATTGATTAGACATATAAATTCTGTATTTTTCTGTATATAGAGAAAGTCAATTTTCAGTATTTAGTATACAGAAATATTTACAAATTTATTATACTGTTTTCTATATTTATTATACGTATTTCTGTATACTTTTCTTATACAGATTATTTATAGGGAATATGATTCAATAAACTAAATAAACTCTTATTCACGAATTTATTAGAATATGAATTTTATAATTAATTATCTAATTAACTTTAACTAAAACTGAACTGAATATAAATTTAACTAAAATCTAACTCAAATCTAACTATCTGACTATCTGCCTTTTTTACTATGCAATTTCCTATCCTATTTATATAAAATATTTAATTTACTTCTATTACTAATTTAAGATAAAGTAAAACTGTTAAAACTAAAGAAACGTTATAAACTTTATTAACTATATTAACTAATTTAACTAATTTAACTAAATAAACATAAGAAACTTATTAAATTCTAATAACTATACAAACTTAGTTAATAACGATATTATCATTTCTGAGGTTTCAGTTATTTTGATAGTCAGGCTACAGCTTAAAAATTATGACTTTCTTTAGTAATGATCTGCAGAATTATAATAGTAGTCACTCTTTTCGAATTATCTCTAATTTTATTAGTCCAATAAATTTGAATTTGTATTCGTTAAAAAGCTCTTAATGAGACAGTTTTAATAATCATTAGGTCGAATATTATCCAATGAATTTCAAAGTGTTATTTTTCCTTATTATTGATTTCCTTATTCATGAATTTTTAATAATAAAGTTTCCAATTATCGAAATCATTCTGTAATTATTAATTTTATTGATCAATTACATCATTTTCAATTCAAACATATTTTTAATCTAGAAGTAATCATATTAATCATATGATAATCAACAATAAATGTGAACCAATAATTATTTGTTTATTTTTCTATAGGAAAGGAATTCTCACAATCTTAAGAATCTATATAGTTACTTCTTTTTCATTGTAAATATTTTGCCAAAAATTTCTTCTATTTTTTTTATAATTTTAATATATCCAAAAGAATTATGCAATATGAAAATATGGCATAGCATGAAGATCAGTCATGTGTAATAAATAATCATTACAGATCTCATTGGAATTGTTCGTAAAGAAGAGGATAATCAATGAAGTAATGCGTAATAAGGATAGGAAAAATACTGCATAATGGCTAAGTAATGATTGTGCAATTATGATTCAATTATGATATTATGTAAAGATAAAGCAATAATAACTTAAGGATAAATAAAGCAAGTGATAGAAGATAGTGAAAAGATTATATTATTGTGAAAAGTGGGATTATTAAGCAGAAAACATTTTAGAAACTTATTATATAATAATTAGGTAGTAATTATTAAATAAAGTATTAAACATTATAAAATAAAGCAATTATTGCATAATTATTATATAATAGTATTTGGTCATAATTTTAGTATAAATAGTCTTCAAATTTTATCATATAATTACGATTTTAATCTATTGATTAAGAGTTAAGAGTCTTAATCAATCAAGATATACTCTTTATCTTAATAAAATTCTTCAAAATCATATTTGTGAAACTCTCTATCAAATACAAACAAATTCTATTTTAAAACTGTTATAGTGAAACTATCTCCTAGGGTTTCAAACGTTAAGACTCAAAGATTGAGAAAGAGTTGTTCAATCTTCATACTAATCAGCTCGAAAACTTAAGTCGTAAAAGAATACTTTTGAAGACTAAACCTAAGTCACATATATCAAGCATTATTTAAAGACTCTTTCACTAAATAAGCTAAGCTAAATCTAACTTTTCCCACTCAGATTAAGTATTTCAGTCTACTTAATTCATATATTTGGGTAATAATACTAAATTTATTACAAAAAATCAAAGATAGGCAAATTTCAATGACAAAGATTTTTCAATAACTGACAAGCTAGCCTTTATTCTTAACAAAAGAAAACTACTGATAGATTATTAATAACCTAGAAGTTGAGATCCACCAACTCTGATGTCAACTCAAATCAAGTTGGATATTTCATGATCAAAATTGAGTATTTGAATAATAGACTGACTGAACTTTCTTTTAATACTACTTTTTATAAGTATAGGGTAAGATATCAAATACTTAGAGATACCCACAGAAATCTTATATCAAGCTACAATAGTCTAAACTTTCAGTTCAACTTTTCACAATTGGAGGTAACTCAGCTTCAAAGTCTAAAACTGTTAAATTGGTCCAAGCTTTAGCAAAAAATGTTAAAAGACTTCAAAGGAATTTCAACACACTTTTTAAATAGCTTTAGGGGAGGAGTAAGAAATTTAATTTTATATTTTATGTTCATTTTCACGACTAATTACTATTAATTTTTACTTGAAGGAAATGCTATATACTTTGGTTGTTCTTGAACTACTCTTTATCATACACTTCGACTGTTCATAAGACTACACTCCCCTTTCTTTCTTTTGTAGCAAAATATTTTTGTTTTCTTTTTTATCATTAAATATAGTTTTTAAATTGTTTCTTTCATGTCTATTTTTATCATTTTGTTTTCTTTTATTTTTCTACGTTATTTTCAAATATTCAATAAAATTTTTTCTTATCATTGCACTTTTGCTTATTAATAAATTCTGACTGTGTCTAAAATATAAAATCTGTTTATAATAAATATTAAAATAAAATAAAAAATAAAATAAAAAAATTAAAATTTAAGCTGCATTACATAATTACTTTCTCTTTTAAGAAATGAGTACTACAAATTCTAATGGTTGACATAATGTTTGATATTCAGTTGTTTTTAATTGCTCAATTAAAAAGTGATAAACTGTATAATAAATTGTCTTCAAAAATAAAATAGATTCTTTCAGCTGTTCTTTTATAATATGAAGTTATGTTTTATCAAATTAAATGTTTAGAAACATCATACATATTAATTATTATTCCTAAATAATATGCATAGGTCAAAGTAGGAATTTGTTAATATAAGTTTGTAGATCTGATTATCTACCTGTAAATTGATTTTAATTTGAATTTGATAGAATCTGAATTAAGATATAAAGGTGGGATTATAAGGATATTTTGTAGATCAATTTTAAGAATGTTAAGACTAATAAGATCAAATAGTAATGACATTTTTGCTTGAATTTTTAAACCAAGAAAATGATCCTATATATATATTCTAGGTTCTAAAATATTTTCATAATACATTTTAAGTCGATCACTGTGTACAAAATTCTTGACCAATTTTCCATCCATATTTTTCAATTTGTAAATTTTACCTTATACATTATGTACAAAATATGGTTCATCTAATATTCTTCCAATTTAGCTGAGAAATTATTTTTTAACCATATGCATTCTACTAATACTTTATCTCCAATTTTAAATTGTTCAGCTATTGCACTTATGTCATATTGATCCTTCTGCTTTTGCTGATTCTCCTTAATTTGATTTAGTGCAATATGTCGATCATCCTCTAATTAATTGATAATCTTTCCATATAATAGATAGATTGGTGTGGGTCAAAAGATGATTTAGTAGAGAATTTCAGATATGCCAAGATCAAAAAAAGAATTTCTTTACGCATGGACATAATAATACTAATCAACGATCTAATAAAAAAAAAAGATTATAAGTATAAATAAAACAATTAGTAAGAAGTTGAAGCATCGAAAATAAATTCTTTTAAATAAAATTTATTGAGTTTGACTGTTTACTGTTGTTTATTCTTGTGGGGGGGGGGGGGGGGGGGGGGGGGGGGGGGGGCGGGGGGGGGGGGGGGGGGGGTGGGGGGGGGGGGGGGGGGGGGGGGGGGGGGGGGGGGGGGGGGGGGGGGGGGGGGGG